TATGGCAGAAAAATGGTATATTATCTCAAAGGTCGTGTCCTTCCACACCCCAACAAAATGGGATAGCTGAAAGAAAAAACCTTCATCTTCTTGATGTTGTCCGTACCTTAATGTTGGACTCTTTAGTACCCTCCCGTTTTTGGGGTGAAGCTCTCTCAACTGTTGTCCACCTTATTAATCGGCTGCCTTCTCCAGTCTTGCACAATGATTCCCCTTTCTTAAGGTTATTTGGTAAGCAACCCAATTATTCAACTCTTCGCACCTTTGGTTGTGTCTGTTATGTTCATCTTCAGCCACCAGAACGCACCAAACTCAGCTCAATCTGTTAAATGTGCTTTTCTTGGTTACTCAGCCCATCAAAAAAGTTTTTTATGCTATGATCCTCACTTACATAGGATTCGGGTTTCTAGAAATGTCATCTTTCAATAAGATACATATTTTTTTGCTACTAACCAAGACACTCAATCTTCTACATCCAAATCTGTCTTGCCATTGTTTCCTAACAGTTTTGCAGAAGACCAAGCTCGTCCTCCTGTCATTGTCTACCAAAGACGTCCAACTGTTCCACCAATTCAGACTCCAATCCCTTCAAGGCCCCCTTCTGATCATTCTCTGGCTGCTGATCCAGTGCATGCACTAGAACCTGCCCCTTTTATGTCGCAGTACTTGCATTCGTAAACCACCGGAAAAGTATGGTGTTTCTGAATCTTTATCTTTGACAGCAACTTTAGCATCTATTCCTATTCCTTCTTCATATAAACAGGCAATGGAGCATAAATGCTGGCAGGATGCTATAGAGACTGAACTTCTTGCACTAGAGGAAAATCAAACATGGGACATTGTTCCATGTCCTTCATCGGTTAAACCTCTTGGCAGTAAATTTGTATTCACTATAAAGTTGCGTTCAGATGGATCCATCGATCGATACAAGGCTAGATTGGTTGTTCTTGGAAATAAGCAAGAATATGGCCTAGACTATGAAGAGACCTTTGCGCCAGTGGCCAAGATGACTACTGTGCGGACTATTATTGCCATTGCTGCATCTGAATCTTGGCCAATTCACCAGCTAGATGTCAAAAATGCCTTCCTTCATGGTGACCTCAAAGAAGAAGTTTACATCAAACTTGCTACGGGTATGCCCTAACTATTACCTAATATTGTTTGTAAGCTAAAACGTTCTTTGTATGGATTAAAACAGGCACCAAGAGTGTGGTTTGAAAAGTTTAGCACAACGTTACTTGGTTTTTCCTTCATCCAAAGTAGCTATGATCCATCTCTTTTTCTACAAAGGACCTCCAAAGGAATTGTGATTCTCCTTGTTTATGTGGATGACATTATCGTCACCGGCTCAGATCAAGAGGCTATCACTACAATCAAACAATTGATGCATACAACTTTCCACATGAAAGATCTTGGACAGCTCACTTATTTTTCGGGATTAGAAGTACAATTCCAACAAAAAGACATCTTTGTCACTCAGCACAAATATACTCAGGATCTAATTCAGCTAGCTGGTCTCACCACTGCAACTATGGTTGACACTCCCATGGAAGTTAATGTAAAGTTAAGACGGGATTAAGGTGACCTTCTACAAGACCCAACTTTATATCGAAAGTTGGTAGGAAGTCTCATCTACCTCTCCATCACAAGACCTGATATCTCTTTTGTTGTCCACACAGTCAGCAAATTCATGCAAAATCCTAGACACTTGCATCTTCCAGCAGTACAACGAAACATTAAATATTTGTTGGCCACTCCCAGCCGTGGTATATTCTTTCCGACAAATGCAACAATACAACTTCAAGCATACAACGATGCTGATTGGGCTGGATGACCCGACACAAGGAAGTCTATTACTGGCTGGTGTATGTTTTTAGGAGATGCCCCTATCTCCTGGAAATGCAAGAAACAAGAATCTGTCTCTAAATCCTCCACTGAAGCAGAATATCAGTCCATGTCTGCAGCATGCTCTGAGATTATTTGGTTACGGGGCCTTCTTTCAGAACTTGGTTATTCACAAGCAACACCAACTCCGTTGTATGCTGATAATACAAGTGCCATACAGATTGCAGCAAATCCTGTATACCATGAAAGAACAAAGCACATAGAGGTCGATTGTCATTCAATCAGGGAAGCTTATGACCGTAGAATTATCACTCTACCTCATGTCTCAACATCTGTTCAACTAGCTGACATCCTCACCAAGTCTTTGACACGTCAACGACATAATTTCCTCGTCAGCAAATTGATGCTTGTAGATTCACCAGCATCAATTTGAGGGGGGATGTCAATAGAATTGATGAGCAGAATATTTGGCATTATTTGTGCAGATTTGTAATTATATCCTTAATTAATTAGCCAGCTGTAGGTTATGATTTGTAATTATATCCTTAATTAATTAGCCAGCTGTAGGTTATGATTGTGTAATTATATCCTTAATTAATTAGCTAGCTGTAGGTTATGATTGTATAGTTATGATTGTGTAATTATATCATACTATTTAAATGAGAATTCTCCAAAGGAGAACATAAGGTTTTATCCCAATTTCTCTAAGTTTAACAGATGAATCTAGCAACCTGTCGAATCTAGCAACCTCTGGAAAGGATTATTTTACCATCATCTTTTACGGGAGGAATAAGATACATGTTTAATAATTGCCAAGATGTAATGGCAATCTGCAAGAGACTTAGATATCCATATTTATTTATCACTGTTATATACAATCCTCAGTGGCAAGAGATAAGACGTTTTACAGCAAAGAAGGAATCAAACTAGATGATTGTCCAGATATTGCTTGCAGGGTATTCCAATTGAAACTAAATCACCTAATGATCGACTTCAAGAAAGGATGCTTCTTTGGGAACATTGTGGAAGGTAAAGTTAAAATCCTAACTACAACAACTTACAACTTACCCTTATCATTCTTAGTATGTAGAGTTAATCATCTTCATAAATGAATAAGTTAACCTATTATTTAAATTTATGATGTAGGAATGTATACAATAAAGTTTCAGAAGAGAGGATTGTCTCATGCTCATATTTTGTTGTGGCTATACCCAGAAGACAAGCTACAAATTGTTGATATGATTGACTGAGTTATATCGACAGAGTTACCAGATAAAGATAAAAACCCTTGATTGCTTGAGGCGGTGACTAAATTCAGTATGCATGGTCCATGTGGTCTATAGAATCCCAACTCACAATGCATGAAGGAAGGTGGATGCTTAAAGTTCTTTCCTAAGAAGTTTGTTAATAACACCTCATTTGATGAAAACGATTATCCTGTATATAGATGAAGGAATACATAAAGGAAAACCATAAAGAAAGATATTAAATTGGACAACATGTACGTTGTTCCTTACCATCCTAAATTACTAATGAAGTATGAAAAAATATATTATTTATGATAAATTAAATATGTATTATCAAAATAAGATATTTACTTTCTTTAGCTAATTTTATAATGATATCGGGAAAAAAATAGATAAAATAAAATAATATTTGATTCGAATTTATTTTCATGATAAATATAAATGAATTTTTTAATATTTATTTTTATTTATTTGCCTTAAATGCATTAGATGAGGATATAAATAAAAAAGAGAGAAAATAAAAAATTATATGTACAAAATAAAAATTAATGATAATTATATAAAATAATAATTAAGAAAAATAATAAAAATTGTATATATAAGATTACAAGAGAATCCAAGTGACATATTTTTATAACTACAATAAATAAAAATAAAAATTTAAAATCACATTAAGTTAAATAATAAATTATTTAAATATAATGAACCTAAATAACAAGTTTAAAACTATGAGAAATTATTTAAGAACAAGACAAGTTTAAAACCTAGTCTTAAAAAGAAATCAGATTTCATAATATGAACCCTAGATTTCGTAACAGTACATTCATAAATGAAATTCTTACATTATAGGAAACGATTTTAAATAATTTTTGTGTCAATAGATAACTAAAAATTTATTTTTCAAAAGCCTCAAAAAATTTAAGGTTTCAATGTATGGATTGAAATTTTTTTAGGAATTTTCTAAACTTTTATGTAATAAAACACAGAAATTCAGATTCAAAATTTTCTTAGAATATTCAATGAAAATATGCGTATGATTATGGTTAGAAAACTCTCATCACATGGAACAAAATTCTAAAGGTTTTTAAGATCAATTGCAACAAAATTCAAATGAAATTCTATAATGAACTTTATGCAAATTTAGAATTATTTTAATAATTAAAAAAATTGGGTCTTATAATCATATATGCATAGCTTTGATATCAAATGAAGAAGATAATTTTTAACCCATTGGTCAAACCCAAGAGTATGAACGAGAAAATGTTAATATGTGAAGAACTAGTATAACTTTAGATATGTGAAAAACTGTTGCTTAGTAATTTTGAATGTTTGTTAAAAATTATATTATGTTTGAGGAAGGTTATACTTACAATCTTTTTTTTTACACCTCTTACAACCATATCTTAACACCGTTGATTTTCGCCGATCGACGGTTATGATTTTCGTAAATTAAACTCATTAATTAATTATTAATTCACAATAAATGATAACCGTTGATTGGCAGAAATCAACGGTGTTAAGATATGGTTGTAAGAGGTTGTAAAAAAAGGTTGTAAGTATAACCTTACTCATTATGTTTTACTCATTAAGAAAATTATATTAGGTGTTACCTTTTTTTTATTAATTTCATTGCATTTCTTTGTTATTTTTTTATTACTCTTGTAATTTTGAATATTTGTTAAAAATTCATTTATTTTTTAAAATCTTATAAATTTATATTGTCCTTTCAAATATTATAAATTCTATTAAAAAATTTTAAAATTCAATCTTATAAAATCATGATTGTAAAGAAAGTTTTTTAAAAAAAAATCTTTAAAATTCCTCTAATTCTAAATAATTTTTAAAATTTATAAAAATATTTATTTCAAAACAATATTTTAAAATCCTAATTCAACGCACCCCGTTTAGTTTTGCTAGAAAATATAAACTTTACTTCCTTCATTCAAAAGCAGACGATTCGAGGTTCATCAGGTAGACGACACTCTAAGATTATCGTTGTTGCTTGTTTCTATTCTATTCTACCCATAGCCGGTAACTGTAAGTGTTTCTTTCATTCCAATTACTAATATACCAAAGTTTTAGCTGTTTGGTTTGATGGCGCACCTTATTGGAGTTTATCAAACTTAAGTTTTTTTTTTTTTTTTTTCCTTTTTCTAAAATTCATAAAATATATGCACATTTGATTTTGAATTACCTGCTGATTCAGGTTTATCTATGGCGACCGAACCAAAAGCAGCCACCGAGGACGTCAAGATCGATCTCTTCGAAGACGATGATGAGTTTGAAGAGTTTGAAATAAATGAAGGTAAAATATCAGTAATCTTATTCTTTCAGGAGATCTCTGACGCAGATCGCTTTGCTTCTGCTTCAATTTAACCTTTTTGTGCGTTTTTGTTGTTTATTTCATCACGTTTTGATCCCTTAGTCATTAGTTTACTTCCATGGAAGATGAATATCGTTTAACAAATTAGGGATTTCATCACATATTGTTGCACGTTTGAGTGAGATTTAGTACGTCCAAATTAGACATTTTTCTGTCATGAGTTACATGGTGTTGATCCTGTTTCTCATTAGTCATAGACATTAGACACATTTTATGGTGCAGATAATGGGATGCACTTAATTGCTTGGGTTTTATTTTTATTTTCAATTCTAGTGGTGGTATTTGGATGTTCTTTGGGTATTAGAGACTTCTTGTTCAACTTGATTTGTTTGGGGTCTTAAAATTTGGTGCTTTGTGCTAACATTCTAATGTGTGTTTTTTCCTATTTCTTTTGCATTTTATTGTTTTTCAACTTACAGAGTGGGATGACAAGGAGGAAGGGAAAGAAGTGACTCAACAGTGGGAGGATGATTGGGATGATGACGATGTTAGCGATGATTTCTCTCTTCAGCTGAGGAGGGAGTTGGAGAACAATGCTGATAAGAATTAAACCACCTGCTGATTACTATAGCTTGATATAACGTATGCGTTGTTATGACTTTGGGTGTTTGAGCTCTAGGTGTTTTCTTGCCTGCAAAAGAAATGAAAACTATGCCTTGTTAGTAAGCAAGTGTAAGACAGTAAGAACATAACATAAGGACATAATTCTTCTGTTCTTTCTTAAATAGCATCTGCATAGAAGTTATTGAGTGCTTGTAATTGAACTGAATTCTTTCTAATTAGTTGGCATTTGGCTGGCAACTTCTGATATGCTGTCTTATTTTCATTTGTTTATTTTTTTTTTTTTTTGGGGGGGGGGGGTCCTTTTCTATTGGTTCATCTCAAAATTATGTTACCTATGCACTGTACCTAACTTTTCACTGAGATTTTCTGTTATATCAGATTATTCTTTATACTATTAATAACGCCAAGCTAAAATGCTATTATAATTTGAGCCTGTGCACTTACACTCTACCTGATCAAACTGATGTGTTTATGAAACGGGTAGCTCTTGAAAGAATTTACACTAGAATCATGGTAGAATAAACTCCAACGGAAATATTTTTACTAAAGCAGATCCGAGTAGGAATAAGATAGATGAGAAGAGTTGTTTCACAAATCATTCTTCTATTGATACACTATCTTTTTAACCTTTAAATAATTGAGTCGAGATCTTTTTATTAGCTTTGAAATATAGCCACTGCAGCTTTGGATCAAACTTTAGCCTCTTGAGAAAAGCTAGCATTGTATAATCTCTTCTTGACTCGTCCGCATGCAAGTACAAATTGTCATGTCAGTAGTTGAGAATGTTCATTAATCTTTTTCATAACTTTTTCAAGTATTTTTCTCAGGTCTTGACTCTTCTCATATTGATTTAAGCTTGAAATTGTTATGTTATTCTGTGAATTCTTCAATCTTTATCATGTTAGATGTGACCTTTCTTAAGTTCCAATTGCTAGGTTTTGTATAAATTTTCTAAAGTTGTCAGTGAGCTTTCTCATCATGTTTTGGTGATCCTCCAGCCTTTTACAATGTACCTTATCAAGCATTAAAACCAAGTAGAACGAATTAGTTCCAAGGGTTTTTGGAACTTACAATTCCGTCCTCAGATTAAAAGCACCTCAATCTATTCCTAATTAAAAAATAATAATTAATTTGATTCCTTCCTTCAAAACTAAACCAAATTATAAACACCAATAGTTCCAAAGGCCCAAATTGATCCCCCTCCTGGCCTTTTTATTTTTAATGTAATAATTGGATGAAATTTTGCTTGTAGGTATTCTCAACTCGAGATTGATTGCCGATATAAGAAATTACTGTTGTTACTAAGGAGTTAATGGGGTTGTTGGGTTGTACCAAATAAAAAAGGAGAGGGGGGGTTGTTGGGCATTCTGATCAAAAGCGACGAAATTTTGTGAGAAATTCGGTGTGAAAGCATGAAGTTCACCTATGATGTTGGATTAAACACATGCTTTATCCCTACGAAAAGGTTGCTATACCAGACGTATAAAAAAGCGCTTTAAGCTACATTCTGTAATTAATCGGAGCTGAAGATTTAGAGTTTTAATTTTATCAAGCGTCCACATTCTTTTCTTAAGATTTTCATTTAGAGTAATCCTTCCTTTTCGCTCTACTTGTACTTTTAAATGGTGACTGCTTTGTATTAGTCACCAAGCAAAAATAGGGAAGAACATTGAAGTGAAAGCATAGGATCAAGATATCGTTACAAATAAGTCAGTCGAAATCTTCTACATAATAGTTGCAAAGGGCATTTTACATCTATATATTTTTAATAATGACAAATGTAATATAAATAATTTATTTACGTTTAAGTACCGTAGGAATGAGGAGAAATCTTAGGATATTGTATATGTACCAGAACCAAAACAAACTGTCCCAGATAGAAATCACGCAACCTTAGACAGGCCAAAGTAATTGTGTCCATTGGATTTGGATAGGACGAAACGACAAAGAAACATTTGCAATTTTCGTAGTGTGGTTTGGAATCTTTCAGCTGAAAATCTGTCCACGACACCTTGCCGTCTGAATGGATAAGCTTTGCACAGAAACCAACCAGAAAGAACGATGTTTGATCGTTCAATTAATTCGCCTCAGATTAAACTGATCCTGGCACTAAAATTAGAGTGTTAATCTAAATAACTAGACATAGATATATAAAATATTGAAGAGTGTGTTTGTAACACGATTGGATAATGATCTGACAAAGATATATATGTATATATCCCTCAATTACTGGTCGAAGAAAAATTTTCTGATGTTAACAAATTGTAACAGAGAACCACCAAAAACATTACTTCCATCTTTGGGGTTGACACAGAAAATTAGGAGCTATCAAGAGATATGCTTTATCACTTTATGCCATTTCAATTTCTACATTGTGAGAAACAGCACTTTCTTCTGTCAAAACTGGGGGAATGATATGAACCCATGTTCGACAAATGGGACAAATGGGTGTCTTTAGTATCCATGGGTCTATACACTGAACATGGAAGCTGTGGCTGCAGTTAGGCAACAACCTGCAAGCATCACCAACCTTGAAATTCTCCAAGCAAACAGCACAATCTATAAGACTGGAACCTTTCTCTGGTTCCTCATAATCAAAGCAAGGAAGGTTCTTCAGGTCACTACTATTATCACCAGTTATTCTTTTGGTGTTACTGCTACTCCTCTGGCCTTGAGTCCATCCACCATGACCATGATTAATATCACTTCTGAATGCCCTTCCAACTATGCAGACATGGATGCACACCAAAACAGCAATCCCCATAAACAAGATGATCAAAGAAATCACAATCTCCAATACCATAATTTTATCTTATTCTGATCAAATTTGTTTGCTCCTCAAAACACAACAAAGCACAGATTGTAGCAACGGCAAGCTACCTGGCTGCTCTCATCATCATGTGTTTATTTTTCTTTTTTTTCTTTTTCTTTTTTTTTGTTCAATAAGAAAAATACCCAGAAAGCTGAAAGTTTTGCTAATTGTGATCCAGTTTTGTTGCAACATGAATCCTATCGAGATCCAATTCGGCAAGTATTGTAGTTAACTGAAGTCCAAAACAAAAACTGCATAATATAATAATAATAATAATAATAAGGGTGTTACTTTTCTTCAGCGACAGTAAAAAAAAATTTGTCTACAGCTGAGACAAATTTAAGTGAGGCAAACCTTTAAAATTAAAAAAATTAAAAATGCATATTGGTAGACGTGAGGGGAACAGGAGAAAGCAATTCTCCTGTGGCATAAGACTGTGATTATCCTAATAATAATGACAAATATAGAAACTGTAATTTAATCTCAACATTACACGTGTTGGTCGAGGAGTGATTAGATGGGTGGTAGGTTGCATATTGTCATGTGGGTTCAAGGGGAGTCCATGGTTGGGGACTATCATCAATGGGCTAAGATTACACCACTATCTCTTAATTCATTTATTATATGGACTTCACTTAACCCCAGTGGCGGAGCCAGCCTCTCAAGCTAGTTAGAGCCAAGAAAAATTTAGTTGATGTCAAACACTAAAATGTAAAAGATTATTTAGTTACAATGAAAATATAGTTAATTTTCGAATATTAGCTAGGGCCAAGTCACCCCCTCCCTCCCCAACCACCTACACCTAACGTGGCTCTGCCACTGCTTAGCCCATTACCAATCTCCAGACTAGCTCAAATCGAATCTGGCTCTGATACTAAAGTGTTAGACGAAGGGAAGCTTATGGCGAGATACCACCACCAATAAACTAAGATTATATCTCTATATCAAGTGGGTCCAACTCCATATATATCTCAACCCAAAGCCTTAAGGCATTGGATTTATAGGTCCTCCCATTTATATGAACTTCACGTAGCTCATTACCAACCAATACAGGAACTCATCACACTTAAATATCCCAATAATCTCCTTCTCAAGTGTGAAATCCTACATTGATATACTTTATCTCAAGTGTGGGACTCATTACACTTGAATATCCCAACAATATCTTCCACTAACTTTTATGTAAATGTGTGAGAGAAAAATTTTCTGCAACAAAAACAGCTATATGGCATTTTTAGTTTATTAGGGTGTGAAAATTTTCTATACGTGGAATCCAAGGATATTCTTTTTATTTGCTTCCTTTTATTTAATTCTTAATTATTAGTTGCATTCAATAGTTGACAATAATTTTTATTTTTCTTTAAAAATTATCCTAGACTGAAGTATCTACATTTAATGTTAATTTAGTATTAGTGTAAATCTTATACTATAATTTAATTATTATGTGCTATCACATCAATAATGACGTCTAAATATTATGAAAACAATTGTGACTTTTATATCATTATGATTTTTATTTAAGTATTATTTTCTTCAATCTGCATCTACCTAGAGTCCAGGTACTGTTAACTAATCTCACCTTAAAATAATCCATTTCCACTTTCCAGTCTCTGTCTTTGAGGAACTTCTACAGAAGAAATACTGTTTTTTGGTTTGCGTCATGCGGTTGCCGGCAAACAATTGTGTTAAATTATACTTTGGCTGAATAAATTAGCCAAGAATAATTAGGTTGGATGAGGTAGCCAACAAGAAGTCAAAAGCAATAATTCAGTAATACTTCCAAACTAATAGTCCCTGATGAGATTATTTATTGGTTGAAAGTTTTATATGCAAATAGCAGTTGTTTGTGAATAGTTTGAAAAGATCCTTGATCATTAAGAATGTGCTTGATCCATCTCATAATAAAATCAGAAACTTGATGAAAGAATTAAAGAATCAATACTCAAATAACAAATTACTGTATAATGTTACTGATTATGCCTTGAACCGCTTCAGTTTTACTTGGAACTTAACCATGTGTTTTGGCTAAGCCCTTGTCTTAAAAGTATTTGCAAACAAATTAATGTGCAATAGAAGATGTCTTATTATCATTCACTTTAGCTTATATTTATCTCATTGATAAGGATTTTTCAAAATTATTATTAAAATATTTTTTCATTAATAGTGTGTTCTGTATTTTCTGAATAAACCATTGTCTATAACCGCCTCAACTCAACAGTAAGATGGCCATGGCAATATGGCTAGTTGCTTGAACTTCGTAAATGGCTGTTGCTAGTCTGAAGACAACTTGATGTTTCGTGTTTTAGATTCATTGTTTACCAAATGAATACAATTATACATGCTACTTACACATACATCACCTCACACATACATATTTTTTACCATTTAATTAAAGTTAGTCCCATCACATTTTCTTCATACCTACAACTTACACTGATTCTGTCACAGCCCCATATGAGTTATTTGCATTTTCGCCGTAAGCATTTTTCTTACCAAATCTAGTCGAGTGTTTCCATGTCTTTTCGGTTTTGCTTTTTATTATACAAAGGCAACTTTGCAATCAATTGTATCTTACTAATTTTGTATGTGTTTATTTCCTTTCTGTTTCAATCTTTAAAAGCATATTAGACTTTGATTAAAGTGCAGTTGAAGAAGAATGCTGTGAAGGATGATTTTGATCCCATTTTCATTCCATTCCCTATATCCATATACCAAGTAGAGCATTGCTCCACCACCTTCTTTTGGAAAATAAAACAAGCTTTCAAGCAAACCTACTGAAACAAATGGTAGAGAAAAGAGAATACCTAGCAAATTGATCCAATTTAATCACATCAATCATGATTACAACAGTATAATGAAGATCTTACAAGGTTACAATGACAGTTCTGCAACATTGCAAAGATGAAAGTAGTACCACATGGGGATTAAAGAGGTAAGAAAAAGAAAATAAGAGGTATGGATTTACATAAGAATGACACGTCACCAGATCCTCCTTCCTATATCCTCTACTGTATATTCCTCTCATCTTGGCATCCAAATCCTGTTTCTCACCATAGATACACTTAATGATTCTTTAAATAGTGAAAAATCATTGTACCTTAAATTGTTTGCTGGACTAAGGAAATGAACCTCAAGGCCCTCTGTACTTACGGAAGCAAAGACAACCCTGTTGCTGATCAACAGGGATCATACCTCCACCTTTGGATGTGTCAATAGCCTCCAGCATGGAAACTACCTCATCCATTTCAGGCCGTTTATCATGATTGGCATCCCAGCATCTCTTCATTACATTTGCCAGAGAACTTGGGCAACATCTTGGAATTTCTGGTCTCAGATTCTAAAATTTCAACAGAAAATACTAATCAATATCATAGATTCATCTTCGATCCGAATCCACAGTGACAAACACGCATTGCTCAAGTGAGACAGATAATCAAAACCGGAAGAAGGTATACCTGGCGAACAACAGCTGAAGTAATCTCTGAGAAACTTAGGTCAGGATATGGCATGTCACAACAATATATTTCCCATAAACATATGCCAAAACTGTACACATCACATTTCCTGTTATAGGGGTTGCCATTTAAAACCTGTAAACCACCACCCATTTATCAAATAAGTGAGTTAGTCAATTACACAAGCTCTCTTCTTTGATCAAATTAAAAACTTCTATATGATATTTTTTATTTTCTTACTGGTACACTACTTGCTACATTATTAAGGCCACCATTTAAATTTATTGAAGAATGCTAATTATGAATGACACTGAAGAATGGAGAAACCCATCTCCATTCAGATAACATATGGGGATTGAATATACCCATTTTCGATCAGAAGAAATATGTTTTGGACACTGCAAGCCTTTGCACTAATGCTTCCACTCTGCCATAAATGCTTGTACAATAATATCTAATTGTAGTAAAGATTGGTAGGGGAGCTGGTTACACACCTCAGGAGCCATGTAACCAAGTGTACCAGTCTCCCCAGTCATGTCATTAGGATTTGACGCTTCAACACGTGCAACCCCAAAATCAGCAATTTTAACTGTGCGTGTCTTATCCAACAGCATGTTCTCGGTCTTTACATCTCTGTGGACAATTTTCTGAGAGTGAAGATAACTCAGCCTGCAAAACCAGGTGAATTCAATTTGAGGGGTCATTTAAAAAATTATGAACAGTCTTTGTTCTCAAACTTGCTAAACCATTATTACATCAAGGAAAAAATTACAAAAAGATAAATACCCTCGCGCAAGATCAAGTGCCAGCTGGATGACAACCTTAAAAGCTAACTTCCTCCTCCTATTCTTTATTAGGAAAGATTTGAGGGCACCTCCAGCAAGATACTCTACAACTACACAGCAGATATTGCTTGGCATGCTAATTAGACCATTATCGGTTTGTATCTGTAATTCTGAAGACCCCATTGTTGCCCCTATAAACTAAACATGGAAAAAGAAAATAGTTTGAGAAATTAGGAAAGAAAAAGACTAGCAGAGAAGTGCATAATGCCCTTTTAAAAGACGGGGAGAAGGAGGACGGGGGAGGGGGGAATTAACTGTAAATGTCCAGGAAAGAGAAAATGTCATTAAGAAAAAGAGTTGATAGGTATTATGGTTAGCCTTGTTCTCTGCATCTACAATCACTTTTGTCCTAGAAAATAGTAGGACAAAGACCAGGCCACCGCAGCCAAGCATACAAATGAATGAACTTACATGTAATCAAGATATGTAATATCTTTTCTTGCTATCAGAAGTAAACGCTGAAGTTCATTAAAGGGGACAGCTTGGTACTATAAAGCTCTCGTTCTGTGCAAGCTCCAGGGAAGAGTCTATAGAAAGCAGCTTACCTTATAATTTGCAAGAGGTTGATTGCATGAATCGAACAAAGGCGTAAATTCATTAAGAGCAGAAAATAGTAATAGAGACAGGAATTCTTCCAAAGAACAGATTCATCAAAAAGAACAGAAACCTGGCAACTAGAAGCTTTCATGATAAGTAGATTTCAAAAAATGTAGCTAGGCTTGTTTATTTCTGTTCAATATATACATGGGTGCAGAACCAAATGGAAAATTCCTAGTCACATTCATTTCCATCCTCCAGTACTAAAGATTATTTCAGGCGTAACTTAAGCACCTTGAAGTTGCAAAAAAAAAGGTATAGAACATTATAGCTAAACCAATTCTTTTTTCTATGAAGTTATCAGTATCTATTCTTACATCAACAACATCAACAGAGTATATATTAATGTGATAGAAGTTAGAATTATGTAATTTTATTATAAAGGATATAGTCAACTAAGTCCTCTTCAAAATTTGCTTTATCATCTAAAAACTTAAGAACTTGAGCTCGATGCCTTGTTAATATGGTCTCATTATATGCAACCAATGCTGTAAACTTTGCAAATGGTATTTCTTAGAAGATCCTCTACAGTCTCATACTAGCTATTTCAAACTTGCATATCACAAAAATCTCACCCCATAAAACCCTTATCTTTAACATTATTCTAACTTCCATAACTTTAGTCAACCATTAAAAAAAAAAAAAAAAAATATCAACATATAGAATAGGAGAATAAAAATGTAGGACAGGCAAGCTCAAATCCTTGAAAGTTTACTAATTAACAAATAAAAAGATCTGGAATACTATTACAGAAGGAAACTTGCACACATCATACTCCTAAAACAATTTGCTGAACATCAAAACACCATAAAATAAGGCCTCAAACAGTAAAATAGAAACTCCATCTCACAATTTCCAGCAAAAGTTAAGCGAAAGCAAGGGGGGAAGAGGTGGACTCATTTAAAAATGAAAACCCTGAAAACTATGTAAGTTTGAATCCTGGACCATAAAAGAATTATCAAAAGAACTATATACTGATAGTCTTGAAAGACAAAGTACAAATTTGATAGCAGGTATGCATAGACATAACAAAGGAGGGCTGAATAACCTTTTCCTGAAATTGAGACTCTCACTTGACAATCTAATTATCTAAGTTTATATGACCTTATGCCTTTTGATATCATAACGTGAACCCAAAACCTGCTTCCCCCCCTCCCACACACAACAAACAAACAAAAAAACCAAACGAAAAAATATGCAGATGGTATGTTACATTGTAACTCACAAGCTCAACTAACAACAACAACGAGAAGAAGTTGAAGCTGAAGAAATGAAACTGACCTTAGTGACATTAGGATGATCAAGTTTATGCCAAACAGCAACTTCTTGTGTAAATGCCGACCTAAGGGAAGCAATTTCAGCTTCTGTCCGTTGCCCTTCTTCACCCCAGTCCAGCATTTTAACTGATCATTAAGTAAACAAGCACAAAATGGTTCTAGTGAAATGCAGAGAAGCAAACCATTAATTCTATTAAGCGTTATATGCAACAGAAAAGTGCATTACAGATTCCATACAAAAATTAAATCAACGAGTGAAACAATTTCATCAATCATTCTTGTCCAGTGAGGTTTCTGTACATAGACTATCTGACCATTTAACTTTTCCCTTCCATAACCAACCTAACAGTAACATTCTACTTAAATTATATTCAGAATTCACCACAAGACCAAGACCACCAACTAGGATCACATGATTTTTCAGTTGCAAAACAGCCCCATCACCAAATCATCGTAAAAGTTAACACCTTTCAAGAGAACACAGAATAAGAGGAGCAAATGAATTGGCACGTTCAACAGTGAATCGATTGAAGTAATAATTTTGCTGAAATAGATTCTAATTTTTTTTTGTAATTACATGGCTTGATGTTTATTTTCTGAAGTTAACTAACAATATCATTAGTTCATTTTGAAGAGAAAAATGACAATTGAAAAAAAAAAAAAGATTTTTCAATGAGGAAAATAAAAATATACAAAAAAGAGAAAGAGAAAATTGAGCCCAAAAGAATAGAAAACATAAAAAAAGAAAGAGAAGGAAAGGGGTGAGTGGAACTTACCAGCGACATCTTGGCCATCATAGACACCACGGTGAACAGTACCGAAAGTGCCACGAGCTATGACACTCTTGATGATGAGGTTAGAAGGGTCAATTTCCCACTCCAGCCTTTGCTTCTTCAAGGTAACACCACCAACACCACCACCTGTTGCTGCTACACTTTTGAATTTAATGGCAGTGGCAATAGAGCTTGTGTTACGAACATGATCAACACCATCTTCCTCTCTCTGCTTCTTCTTCTCAATAGTCAATGCCTTGTTTAGGTGCCTCTCTAACTGTTCATCTATGCTCTTCAGATCAATCTGATCAGCCCTCACAAACCCATCACTGTTTTCCTTCATCTTTGCTCCTTCTTCTTCTTCTTCTTCTTCACCCTATCTTCTCTCAGTGAGTGATTGTGATTATTGGTGCAGCTTAAAAACCGGGAACAACGAGAATTTTGGGGGTAAGGTAATCTATTTTGCCAGATATGGTTGTGGGTGTTTCAGTTGTCGTTTGATGATGTTGTTTTTCTTCATCTTTCCCTCCGCAAAATTGCCACGGTCTCTCTAATCATCCATGTGGGCACATGGAATTGCCTGTGCTATAACGTGTTCCTGTGACCCACTTGCTCTCCTCATTCCCCTTTCTAATTTATCACACTATTGTTTTGCATTTATTGCCCACTAATATTTTATTACCAAAGCTTACACGAAGTAGCAGTAACAAAGTGGTATTCTTTGACAAATTTTTTAGCTAAATCACAAGCGAATAGTATTTTTTATCGTACTGATTTGATGTAATTTGTTATAATTGGCAGAGAATTCGTCTATATGTTACGTGTTATAAAATTATTAATGAACATAATCATTATCAGTCATACCGAATTATGTCGCATCACAGTCCGATAAAAAATACAATTTGCATGATATTTGAATAAAAAAAATTTCCAAATAGTAACACTTTGGTTGATGTTCCTTACATGAATGTATGTGTATTAAAATATTTTCAATTTCATATATTCTTTGACCAATGGGTAAAATATTATAACGTTATTTTTAGTGTTTAATATCTCTTATATTATAGAGATAAAATTATTTTTTATATATATTTAAAAATATGTAACACTTATATTTTTTTTTCTCTTTATTCTTTCACATAAATTCATATATTTTTATTTGTATAAAAAATTATTTTATCTACTATAACATAACAAACAGCACACCCTTATTTTTATCCCAATTTGTTGACAAACATAAATGCTTTCCTTTTATGAAACTGAAATGAATCTCATTTTAGATTATGTTGAGGACATTTTGACTCAAATGTTACCAATATCATTAAAACCTGCTATTTACGGTTGCAAGGCCCTAAACGTGACGTACACATGTATGTAACTTTTTTAATGAAATTATATCTATTTTGAAAAGTAAGTCATAAATATTTTAAGGGTTATATTTATTTCATTTTTTATGAGAGAATTAAATTTTTTATACACACAAAAGATGAGTGGATCTCTTTCTTTTTTTTCTCTCTCCTTTTATTTATGGGTTCCCCTTGCAATCTTATTTCTATAATATAAGATAACTATTTTCCTACAGCATAAGATAATTATTTCCCATATTTTTTTTATTTTTTTTTTGGTAAATTACACTAATTTTGACTTCAGAATGTTTATGAACTCTCTTTTTTTTTTCCAAAACCTTTGTAATTTTTTCAAAAGAGGTGTAATTCTATTAAAATTTGCAATCATAAATGGAATGCAAGCATACATCACTTTTTAAGAAACGTTCGATAAAATACTTCTACTCAATTATGTATGGTGATATAATTGAAAGCTTACCCATAACAATATAAAATGCTAAGCCCGGGTAATCATATATATAATTTTGATGATAATATAAAATCTTAATATAGATAATGGATTAAATTTGATAATATGTAACTCAATTGATAATAAGAGAGCTGAGTAAATGGAAAGGAAAGTGTTTCGATTTGATTCTCACATGTCACCTTTGAAAGGAGTTTAAATATCTCCATCTATGATCCGCCCCCCACTATATATGAGAATAGTGGAGGAGATCATTCCAATGAATTTGAACCATAGCATAAGGAAAAAGAACCAAATAAGGCTAATGATAAAGAAGTTCGACGATTAATGCATTAAATAAGAACACCACCATGACACTCAGTCTATTCTCATGTGTCAAAATAAATGGAAGCTTTACTATTTGTATAAATAGAAACTTTACATAAAAACAAAACATCGGAACTTATTGCACTTCCAAAAGGTTAAAAAAACCATTGGTAACAAATTGGTCTATAAGATTAAATTAGATGACAACAATCAGGTGGAACTATACCATGCAAGAATGGTGGTTAAATGATATGCTCAAAAGGAAGGTATTGATTCTCTCTAGTTGGTAGACTTACTATCATTAGAGTAGTTATCGCCATGTGTGTTGCATTCACTTTACATCTTGAGTAGCTAGATGTAAAAACTGCTCTTTTATGGAAAACTTGAAGAAGAGATATATATGTTCCAACCAGAAGGTTTTGAAGAAAAAGGAAAAGAAAAATTGGTTTGCAGGTTAACCAAATCATTGCACGGTCTAAAACAAGCGCCAAGATGTTGGTACAAATGATTCAATTCATTCATAGTTTGCCTCAGATACAACAGACTTAGTTTAAACCATTGTACATATTACAAGAGATTTGGTGATAATGAGTACATCAAATTGCTCTTATATGTGGATGACATGTTGGTGGTAAGCCTTAACAAAGATCGAATCCAAGAATTGAAGACACGATTGGCTATGGAGCTCGATATGAAGGATTTAGGACAGGAAAACAAGATTTTAAGGATCCAAATTCATCGAGATATAAAAGATAAGAAGATTTAACTTTCACAAAAGAATTATTTGAAGAAAATCTTGCGACGCTTTAACATGCAAGATTGTAAGTCAATTTCTATTCCACTTCCTATTAATTACAAATTATCATAAAGTATGTGTCCTAGCAATAAAGCGAAGGTGATGAAAATGTCTCGAGTGTTGTATGTATATGTGGTGGGAAGCCTTATGTAAGCAATGATTTGTACGAGACTAGTTTTTGTTCAAGCAGTTGGTATGGTCAGTCGATTCATGGAAAGTCCTAGTAAAGAACAATGGGTTGTTGTTAAGAGGATCCTAAAATACATAAAAGGAACCTCATATGCCGTATTATGTTTTAGAGGATCAGACTTTATTTTTAGAGGATATGTTGATTCAAACTTTGCTTGCAAGTGATATTGATAATAATAAAAATCCACTACAGGCTATGTGTTTACACATGCAAGAGGAGCTATAAGTTAGTTATCCAAATTACAGATTGTGGTAGGTTTGTCTATTGTAGAAGCACAATACATGGCAACTATCCGAGCTTGCAAGGAAGCAACTTGGATTCAAAGGCTAATGGAAGAACTCGAGCATAAACAACAGTCAATTATTGTGTATTATGACAGTTAGAATGCCTTACACATTGCAAGGAACCCAGCCTTTCATTCAAGGACAAAGTCCATAGGAAGTCAATACCACTTTGTTAGAGAATTAGTAGAAGAAGGGAGTATGAATATACAGAAGATTCACACCAAAGAGAACTTAGCAGATGTTATGACGACACCAATCAATAATGATAAGTTTGTATGGTGTCAATCCACCTATGATCTATCAGATACGTAAGTAGAAAGAACTAGCAAAAAAGAAAAGATTTTAGAAGCTCGCCAAAGTGACTTTAAGTGGGAGATTAATGTATGCCATGAAAAAATGCAAACCCACTTTCGGTTGCTAGAGTCAGAAAAAATGGCAAACTAATATTCACTATAAGAAAATTGCAGATGGGGTTGCACATATATGGATTGAACACGGAAGGAATTCGCCTATAAATAGAGAACATTTTATTCAGTTATTATCATCCCAAACTCACAGAGAACTATATAGTATCTTTCAAGTGTTTTCTAAGAATGTGGTGTATTCTCATAATTCAAGAGAGTGATATGGTTCGCTCCTTGTAATTAGAGAGGTTGTAATTTCTTCGACTTAGTAAAAATCTTCTATACTCTTGTCCATGGTTTTTTCAAATTGGGTTTGGGTTTTCCATATAAATCTTGTTGGTCACTTCAATTGGTGTATTTGTAGGTGTTGACTTCTTGTCCGATGGAATTAAGATAAAGTTAATTTATATTGTTAGTGTCTAGGAAAGTAATTCAAATTTAGTGATTATTTAAGAGAAATCTTCATTTTCACCCATTGTGATTTTGTGATTTATCATTTGACCATTTGTGGTTTTAAACTTATCAGTTAGACCTACTGTGCTGGGATATTTTGTCATTTAACCCCTTATGATTTTAAATTTTCACTTAGACCCCTTGTGATTACAAAAATTTCACTTAGACACCTTGTGGTTTAAAAAATAAATATTTTTAAAAATAAAATTTCTCCTTTTTTTTGTAAGCTTCTCCTTTTTTATTGTATATCCTTATGTAATGTATTTATGGTTTAAAAAATATTTCAAGTTATGCATTCTAAAATTAATTTATAAATTATCTTATTTTTTAAATATATTTGAAATTAAAAAAATATTATTTAAGATAAATTAAATATGTATTATCAAAATAAGATATTTACTTTCTTTAGATAATTTTATAACGATATAGGGTAAAAATTAGATAAAATAAAATAATATTTGAATTGAATTTATTTTCTTGATAAAAATAAGTGAATTTTTAAAAAATTCATTTTTATCTTTTAAACCCTAAATGCATTAGGTGAGGATATAAAATAAAAAAGAGAGAACATTTATTTTAAATATTTTTTAAAAAAATTTATTTTTGTAACCACAAATGGTCTAAGGGAAAGTTTGAAACCACGAGGGATTAAATGATAAATTTTTTAAGCACAATGGATCTAAGTGATAAGTTTAAAATCATAGGGGGTCAAATGATAAAGCACAAAACCATAATGGGTAAAAATAAAAAATTTCCATTATTTAATTAGTAACTGTTACGATTGCACGGAAAGACTCCTACTGGATTTAGACTTACCTAACCAAATGATATAATTAACAATACGTTAAAATTTCTATTTCTCTCAACTCTATTCTAGCTATATAAAACCTTGTTACCTAACAGAAATGAGATTTGTTGAACCACATTAAATTTTTATATCGTTGTGCTCCCGCTGTAAAATGGTTTTTAACTCTTGGGATCAATAAATGGTGCCATAGCCAATAATTTGAAATGATTAGGACGAAATCCGATGGGTCAGATCAGCTGGATGAGTATTGGACAAACAATTATGGATGATAAACAACAATACAAGTGGCCCAGCCCACCGATGAGCAGTAACCCATATGGAGACTTGGTTTGGTCATTGGTGTGGTGAAGAGTGGCAACACCTGGCTTGGTATAATGAAGAGTGGTAACATGTTGGTTGAGATATGGCTCTTGGGAAAAGTGGGCTTTTGTAGGTGGCCAGGTCGAAGGGACAAATATGAGATGTGACTGTTGTAAAAGTGGGCTTTGGAATGCTTGGGGAAAAGTCATTGACCATTGAATACTTGGGAAAAGACTTCCATATGAAGAGGGGTGTTAAGGGCATCCTTGTTCATAAGATTTGGCTAAAATGTTTGACAGGAAAGGATGGGAAGCCGAAAAGGATAAAAGAATTTGTAGGTTCATTGGCCAAGATGTTCATATCATGTGGAGCTATTATGTATAATTGAATCAGGTTATGTGCATTGTGTTACTTGTACGCGTATAGAGGTCAAATGTATTTTCTTATTTATGGTTTTTGATAAATATTTATTTTTCATAATGTTCATGAAGGTTGACACTTGACTAAATGACTTGGATCAAGGTGAAGAAGCTATTATAAATTTTGATATTGGCAGGATATTCGCCAAGGTAGAGATTTGTTGGAAAAATAGCTTATGCATCTTGATAAGGTTATGTTCATCCTTGGTAAGTATATCCTTGGAGATCTAGAAAATCTAAATTAAGGATATGTCCCACTAGTGGGGTCATCAATAAATGATATTTTAATCTTTATTATCTTGGCATCACAACTTTTATGAATTAAATTTAATAAAATCTAATCAAAATATTGAATTTATAGAAGCTCTTCTCCAAATAATGGAAACAGAGAACTATTGGGTACACGCTGATATAAATATTTAACGAAAAAGATATTTTTATTTTTGTTACAGAAAAATTTTCTATCACACTCAACTAAAAATAAATAGGTCTTATTATATTTCATTAATGTTTTCTCTTTCTTCTCATTATAAATTTATAATAGAACCACTCATTTTTATGTGAGTGTGAGAGAAAAACTTTTTTACAACAAAAGTAGAAACATTAAACTTTATTTAATTAGTCAAGAATATAGTTATAATAATATAGGGGTAGGATATTGTAACAACTAATTAGTGTTACTACCAATCAATTTCACCGTTACATTGATCAAACAGTTATATTTATTTCCATCTTTATATGGTTATGATTCCCCATATTTAATGTGAAAACATTAAATATGAGAAATCATAACCATACAAAGGTAGAAATAAATATAAAATATTAAATATGAGAAATCATAACCATACAAAGATGGAAATAAATTTAACCGTTGGATCAACATAATCGATCTAATGGTGAAATTGATTGGTAGTAACACTAAATGATTATTACAATATCTTTCCCAAATAATATAATCAAATATGATAATATTCACGTAGTTTTAAAAAATATTGTATTGTATTGAAAACAGAATGTTTAATATCAGTTTTGGTTATATATGTATATATATAGGGAAAAACTATTCTCCTATTACATGAGATAAGTTTTCTTTTCTATACACCCTTCGATAATTGTGTTATATATATATATATATATAGGTTTTAAGTGTTGATGGCTTTCATCGCGGTTGAGTGGGTTCGGTTGAGGAGAGGACAGGGGTGGGGGCTGGGATTGCGTGGGTAAATGATACTGGCACGATAGAGCGCGTTTTGTGGTCCCATTTCATGGTTGACAGTTTAGTATTTAACAGTATAAAACATAATGTTGTTTCTATATTTCAAGGGACATAAATCACCAAATTGAAGGCTTAATGGATGACTTTAGAGACTTTGATTTCACCATTTGATTCCGGTTATTACAATGAAACCCGCGCTTTCGCCGACCAATTTTAAGTTACATATGTATAGCAAACCCTAAAGCCTAAACATTAAATCCATAAAGAAAATAGCAAACATACGGTTATTTGACTCGCCATTTTTTTACTCTTGAATAGGAGAATTACAATTTTCTCAATCTTCGTACATTTCAGTCCTTTACAAAAGGTTTGTATTTGAAAAACTTGAAGTTGTGTGTTTATTCTCAAATATAAAAATGAAGTCTAAACAATAAACAATTTATGTCTTTTTTAATATGAAAGTTAGTAATAAGGAAAAAATAATAATATAACTTCAATACTTCAGTTACATCATTTGAACGGACGGGCGAAAATATTTAAAATTTAAACGATCAAATTGATAAATTTAATCTATAAAATGTTGAGATATATTACTCCATTAATATTTGGTGATTAAACATATACCTTATACATTTATTGGTGTATGGCTTAGTGTCTGATAATCACCTCGATAAATACTACATACCTTATTATTAGAAGCATAGTTTCACCTCACTTCTATATGAAGATACAAACATTTCGTAAGAAAGTGTGATAATATTTTTTAAAGAGAAGTTTGAGTATGAGATCTCAAAATATTGTACTCGTGCTAATGCTTCATTGCCCGACTTGTGAATAACTTAACATAAAAAGCTAAACTAAAATGAGTATATATTTGAAGGGTTTTATAATTCTCATTTAACATGAGAATTCAAATTTTTCTACACATCCTTCGATTTTCGTACTGACATGAGTCCTACATATAATTTTTTCTAACACATGGGTCCCACATGCTTTTTATCTCTACAACATGAGAATTGAATTCTCATTTAACATGAGAAAATCAAACCCCATATTTGAATGAGTAAAACGTGATTTTACTAATTTTCAAAAATAAGCATTAAAATACTCTCACGCAGCCCACAAACCTCAAAATAAGTTTGTTTTGGCATGTGATGAACGAGGAATAGAAGAGAATCACTGAGAAAACACAAATACGAGTTATGACACGTGGATCGACCTGCGACACGACACGAAAATTCGTGTTCGAGTTGATCCGTAAAAAAATTCGTATCGTGTTCGTGTCGACCTATATTTTTTTTAATTATTTTATTTTTTATTTTTTTTATTTTTTTATTTTTTAACCATTTTTTTTAATTTTTTTTTGTCAATTACCATTTTGACCACTATTTTGTGTGTTATTCGTGTCGTGTCAACCCGCAAAAAATTCGTGTCGTATCAATGTTGAAGATTTTGACACGAATAAAAATTTGTGTCATGTTAGTGTTCATGTATTCGTGTCGTGTCAAATTCGTGTCGTGTCAACCCGTTTTGACACCCTTAAAAGAAACAGCATACAACTTGTTGGGCTTCCTCCTTCAATGCTAAGCCCAAGTTCATTGAAGGGTTTCTTAAAAATCCTAAATCTTAAACTCTAGATTCCACCTCCTCTATATATTCATTAGTTATGGGTGGAGGCTAGGTTAGAGAGAAAAATTTGAGAGAAAATTATTTGAGAGATTTGAGAGCAAATCTTTAAGCTTTTGTATTTAAGAGATCTCTAGAGAGAGTTTGAGTGAAACATCTCTAGGGCAGTTTGATTATCACAATTGTTGGAAAGGTTGAGTTAATCATCACATTGGTGTATTTTGATTCTTTGTATCCATTATTTTCATAGTAGACGTTTGATCTGGACTAGGTCTCGTGGTTTTTACTTCTTCATTGGAGAAGGTTTTCTCACCTCCTTCTTCTCTTTTCTGTTTGCGTTTTTAATTTTTCCGTTGCGCTGCCCGACCTGATAAAATTCAGGCCAAAGTAATATTGTCGAGATCCAAGATCCACATCTTGTTATCTGAAGTCCGCAAAAAAATTGTTTAGCCGAGAGGGAACCGAATTCCCAATACAATTAAAGAGAGCCCGAAGTTAATTGAAGCACCTGTTTAAGATAAAATCTTGATTAAACGGTTACGCAGTATCTCAGATACGGTATAGACTATTCCAAAAGTGAAAAAGGGTTAATGGATGTGAGGTGGTAGGTCCCGATTGCTTAATTTCGCTCCCCTGCCTTTATCATACCACCAAGAGTCTACATCAACACACACCCCTATTATAAGCCTATTGATTGTGGCTGTGAACCTTTGCTGGTCCATTTCTTGGCTTGCACTTAAAGCTGCTGTGTTTGCATGCCGTTTATGCTCTCACTTTAGACCGCACAATCACTACACACCTGATTCCACAACATGCGCACTTCACCATCCCAAATATACTACTACAAACACATTCAGCCTACGATGAAGTGACTGACACATCAAATGAGGCATTGCACAAGCATAATGGCACTTGGCTCCCTCACCAAGGCATATACTGTACCGACATCACCATACTACCATCCCATCGTTTCTCTAATCTCACATTATAATTTTATGTAACACGATAAAAATATTTTTCAATACAATAAAAACACACAGTCAAAATAGACAGTTGCACAAGCATTTAAATTACTTTAAACGGAAATATATTTCTCATATTAGGTAAAATAATTTTTCCTCATATAATACATAAAAAAAATGAAATCCATTTTTTTATGTATTATATAATTATCTTGTGTAACATGGTAAATATATTTTCCTTCTTCAGAACACAAGAATTAAAAATATAAATAAAAATCACGAGTCATGACCATCCAATGATTTCAAACCTAAAAAAAACGACTCTAGCTGAATTATAAATAGTCAATTCAAAAACTCGAAAAATATAAAATGTTTGAATGTCTTCAATTGGCAGTGGTCCAGGTCATATCGTTCTGGAAAATCCAGTGACACACCTCAATTTTTCCAGGGCCAGACCCAAGTGCCAAGAAGGCCCCATGCTCTTTACCCCACGACGACGTGTCCAGGTGACAGATGGCAACCCCATGATTAATCTTTACCTTCGTTTCCACGTCAAGAATATCAGCTTCATAGACTCTCACTTCGGGGACAGAGTGACAATAATACAGTAGGTACGGGTACAAACTCTGATGACATGAAACCGATTTGGTCACTTTTCCACCGTCCATTGCATAAACCCTTCCAATCATCACGCTTGTGCCCCACCCATTCACATTCTCTGTGGCCCTAACCATAACATTCGCACCCAAAACCGATACAGCAAACTCTATCATCCCCTCCGCTGATCCAACGCACCGTTTCGTCTCGCCCCGGCTAGGTTCCCTCTCGCACTCTCCCAACGCGTTTACTATCACGCGCTCAATCGCCGAGCCCTCCCGCGCGTGAAACACTTCCTTCATCTCACGCATCCTCGACGAGGAGAATGGTAATTTCGACGAAATCGCCAGGGGCAAAAACGACCTCGCTGGCATTTTGTCCCTAATATCTGGCATCGTTACCACATTCCCTTCCTTCAGCATCGACTCTCTGAAATATTTACCCGGTTCAACCCATTTATTCACAGCTTTGCCACTGAATCCGCTGAAATTGTGGTATTCCGAAAACGATGCACCCTGCTTGGTATACTCTTTGAAAGCACGGCCCAACCCGTATGACTTGAACCCGAACGAGGTCCGACCCGACGACCCTTTTCCATATTCAGTGAAAGTGTCGTTCCCCACGTTGAAGGATTGGCCGTAGTTGGCGAACGTGGCGGCGCCGGAGTTAGATTTCGCGGCGTAGCTTTGGAACGAGTCGTCACCAACATTAGCGCGGTTCCGGTAACTGACGAACGAGTCGGTGCCGGCAACAGAGCCGGCGCCGTAGGTTTTGAAACTGGCTCGAGGGTTGTTACCGTTGAAGCTGTAAGACTTAAAGGAATCGTTGTTGGTTCCAGCACCCAACTCGCCGTAACTCGTGAACTGAGATTGCAAAATGTTGGAGCTATCGGCGTAGTTGTTGAAGTCGCTGGTTCCTCCACGAACGCGCTTGCCGTAGCTTGCAAAAGATTGGGTTCCAGAGTTGGTTTCGTTGCCGTAGCTGGAGAAAGAGAGCTTGTGGTTGTTGGCGGCGGAGTCATAGGTGGTGAAGCCGAGGTTGGGGACGTTGACCAGCTTGTCGTAGTTGTCGAAGTCGCCGGAGCCGGAGTTTGCGCCTGAACCGTAGCTCGTGAAGTTGGTGTTAGCGACATTGCCGTTTTCTGCATAGTTCTTGAACTCGCCACCGTGGCGGGTTGAGGTGGTGCTGTATTTTTTGAAGGAATCGTTGTTTGTGTTCAAACCATCTGAATAGTTCTTGAACGAGTCAACTCCGCCGACTCGGGAGGAGCCATAGTTTGCGAAGCGTTTGTTGGAATAGAGAGCGAAGTTAGCGTCACCTTTTGTCATGGTTGTGGTTGTGGTTGTGGTTGGGTTGTGAAGAGTGTCGTCGAAGGAGCAATAAAAGTTGGGTGTGGAACAGAGGGAATTGTGAAACTGTGGAGAGAAGGGTTTGTGTGTGATGAGGTTGTTGAGGATTGCATAGTGTTGTGGTGTGAGAGGGGAAGCTTTTGAGAGAAGGAAATGAGGGATTGGGTGCTTATTGGAAACGTGGGTGTTCCAGTACCGAATGAGAGAGGCTTTGGGGCTGAATGGGTTGATCTGTTTCGAGTAATGTTCTGTTTGATGGATTCCGTTGGTTGCTAGAGAAACCTGCATTTGTGTGTATATGGACAAAACATTAAACGACATATACAGATGTAATGTGAGACAAAGAAGTCATGCATTTGCAAATTGCAATGTAGTAAGATTATATATGCATTTTATATATAACAGATTGAAGTAAGAAAAAATGTGCTGGGTGACGTGTGTTGTGCTGATTCTTACATGGAAATATGAGAGTGATAAGAACAAGCAGATGAAGTGAATACTCATTTTGAGCTGTTGTGTGTGTTGTGTCCTCTTTGGAGAGATTGATATAAAAGAAAAAAAAACACAATGGGAGGGAGATTCGATCACTTGGCTCACCAAATATATGGTCTTCCCAGACATAATTTGCTTTTATGTGCACAAAGTGTTATGTCAATGACTGGGAACGTTCCTTTTCTCTCTCTCTTTTCTTTTGGCAGCATCTGAAGATATGTATGGGTATATTTATACGAGTAAGGATATTCTAACTGCCAAAAATTCTTAGTACTAACTTACTACCCATCACATTACCATTGGATCAAAGAGAGAGAATGTTAAAAAAAATTTAAAGAGAGAGAAAATATTAATCTAATGGTGATTAGATAGGTAGTAAGTTGGTAGTGAAAAATTTTGGTAGTTAAAATATCATTCCTCTATTTATATATAATAGCAGCTTTAACAATTGTGTATAAAATTAATATTTTATTTGCTTGTCTTTTCTCCCATTGCTCCTCAGTGAGTGAAATATGGCAAGATCGTGGCCTTGTTTTTGTTTAGGAAAAATTCGAGTTGACGAATGTTGCCCGAGCTATATATAGTGGACCACAAATGGTTCTAACGAAGTGAAATACATCGAGTTTATAATAATCAAATGGATGCTAAAAACGGAATCTGAGTTTTTGACATTATTCAATGGATTTGGTACGATTAACTAAGCATTTCCTATATATGGTTAAAACTCTGAACTTGGGTGCCGTAGATGCTTCCCTCTAACTTTAGCAATCCATTTATCGAGTAGTTGGCTTGCTTGTATTAAAAAATTGGTTTAAATACTTTTTTTTAACTGAGTTTAAATACTGACCCACTTTTATTTGGGTCAGTTTTAAACCTGACTTGTTTTAATAATAACTTATTAACTCAAAACTTGACCCACATCCATTATGTAAGAAAAAAAAATCACAATTATAGTTCTCTCTACTCTCTGTCACATTATTGCACTCCACCAAAGAGGATTTCCTATATGCTTCTAGACTTTTCTTGTGCTGATTCCTGAGCTTCTTGATTAATTTAAATCCATATGATATGATATGTTTGAATACCTGATTGATCTCATGTTTTGCTATAATGGTCTTTGTTATTGGTTATGGATTTAACTCTCTAATCCTTTCAACATCGCCTCCTTCATTTCATAACAAGCAGTAGATTTCCTTTCTCTTTATTCCTTCGTTTTTTATTTTATTTTAATGACTTTTACATCGTATTAGGTGCATGGTAACTAAGAATTTTCATAAATATCTCGAATAATAATCTTGAAGGCTCGCTGCTGATTGAGCTCAGCAAATTAGCAACTACTTCTTTATCCAATTTTTATTTGAGTCATTATGTGTTGAGTTACAATTATTACTTTAATGAAAAAAGTTTCTATACAACCATTCTACCTGTATAATATGTCGTTGCTTATCAATCTAATTCCTTTACATTTTCTATTTTCTTTGTAGTTGATAACTAAAATTACATATGTACAATCATATTAGCCAAGAGTTGCCTTAAACTAATTGATCTTTTCCTAATAATAATTGTATAATTTGGGTTTGAATTTATGAATTTTCTATCAGTAGACATTATGTAATTTTATAATATATCATTCTTAAAATTAGTGATTTGTCATCTTAAGATGGGAAGAGTGTTCTCTTATCCTTTATTTTTCATTAATTTTCACTAATTTTTCGTCACATGTGCAGGGGGCTTAAAATTACATTCCTTTATTTATTCAACAAATATTAAATTTATTATAAAATTTATATATTTTAAAACAAATAAATAATTAAATTACATGAGTTTTAAAAATAAATCAATAACTATAAAAAAATCAAATTAAAAACATGTTTTGAAACCAAGTCAAAAACGGGTCAGGTCGGATTTGACCCACTTCAGAAACCAAGTCAGGTCAGATCCGACCCGATTCTGAACTAGTTCAAAAAAATACAAACCAAGTCAGACCTAACTTGGATCAAATTAAATCGGGTCGGGTCGAAATACTTAATTTATAAAAATCAAGTTGGGTCGAGTCGGCGCAAAAACCTAACCCGACCTGACTCATGCACACCCCTAGCTTGCTCTGTTATGGTATAGTTACGTTTTATTATAACAGGTAATTTTAAATTTACTTTTAATATGATACAAAATACATAAATTTGAGTATTATCTATAATTTCATATAAAAAATATGATAGTTTAGATGTTCATAGATATTATATCATGTATAAAGCGGTGAGGATTGAACTCATAATCTTATGATTGTTGAAGCCTGATATCATATAAAGAACCATTTCAACGCAGAACCTTAATGTGTTGAATGAGGATCTTTTTAATGATTTATATTATCTCTAACATTATGTGGCAGGATCTTTTAACACAATTTGACACCAGTGTCAAATGTTAAACTTTTTAGTTTAACACAAATTCCTAATTGTTGATTCATGCCAATCGACAATTATAATTTTTTGGGTCACACTTATTAATTATTTAGTAATTTCCAATAAATTATAATTGTCGATTGACAAAAAGTAACGGTTAGAATTTGGTGTCAAATAAAAAAGTTTGATATTAGTATTAAAGGATCTTATCCCTTATATCATTTTAACCCTTAAAAATATAACTTTAATCATTCATTCAGTTATACTTACAACATATTAAGAACCTATAAATAAAAGCATGTACAAAGACATATGTATAAAACTGGAATAAGATTATAATACATTACTCTCATCTGTTTTTTTTTTTTTCACTTGCGTGATTCCTCTCAAAGTAATTGAGTATATGCAAAAGGTAAAAAGGCAAAAAAAATTGACAAATGGGAAGAAGAAATTGACAAATAATTTTCTTCAAAGCAAGATTTTTCACACTCAAAGATCATTTTAACAGCTATGGAAAAAGGTTAGTAATCCAATTCTTAACGTTATATATGAAAAATCATGAATTTTGACGATCACATTCATGTTCTTCTCTTTGCATTAAATCCTGGATCATTAATTTTGTTCTTCAATTTTATGAAATTATTGATATTTGATTGCTTTGTAGTAGCAGTTTCTTAAACACATACTATTTTATCATGATTGACGTTTGTTTTTACCAGCAATCTTAAGATAATTTTGCATAATTTATCGGTTTATAAAAGTACATTTTCTCATTGGGAGATATAATTTTCTAAGAGTTAATATTTTTTTTGTCCTCAGCAAATCTCACGATTGCTGTTTTAGTCCCTAACAAATAAAAAAGTTATTTGTGGTCCCTAAAAAATTCAAAATGAACTCATTTAGTTGAAATCGTTATCTCTCATAAATTCAAAAAAGATCTATATTAGCCGCTCAAAAAGATTCAAATAAATCTACTTTGAATTTTTTAAAAATCATAAATAACTTTTTTATTTACTAAGGACTAATACACACATCATAAAATTTGGTGAGGTATGTACTCATTTTCTAACAATGGTTAAGTTAATAAATGTTGTTGTACCAATTAAGTAAAAAAAAACTCGGTTGCGCGTGCATTGGCTATACCCACCACGGGTCTCGATTCACACGCAACTGACAAGCCGTTAATATATAAGGTCTTCCAATCTGATACTTGCTTCGGTCAAAGAGAGGCCTTGGTAACAATTTATTTTAATCCGCACGATGATTGTATATATGATATGTGGCAGATCTAACTACCGGAGTGGCTATTATATTATATATGATGGGATACAACCTAAATATATTGTTTGGGATAAAAATATATATACTAAAGTATTGATTATTTTTGTAATAGATGACCGTTTAATTACATTTTTTATATCTATTTAAGACCAATTGACCATAAGTCAATTTTTAAAAAGTATTCATTGATATTTGATGCATATAATAAGCTATTTGAAATAGTTATCAATCAGAATAGATGCAGACCTTGAATGACCATTTACAAAAATCATAAAACTTCTATTTTATGAGTCAGATTTTTTTGTAATAATAAGTAAAAAAAAAAATGTTTGCCATTTCAAATAATATAAAGTTATATCATTTTAAGAGAGATAGACACAAAATAATATTTTTTTATTTAAAATTTAAATTAAAAAAAACTACTCACTTTCTCTCTCTTGATTTTCATTCCTTGTGTCTATCTCTTTATTAAAATGACATAATTTATGTCATTTAAAATGACAAACATCAAACATAAAAAAAAATTATAAATCAAGCAGTTTCTAAAAGATTGTATCATTTCAAACAAGATTCTTGAACCAGTCTTGGTCATTTTTAAGTTTGATGCTTCATATTATTAAAAAAAAAAAACTTTATGAGTAGAATATATTAAATCATTATAAATAATAAAAAAATTTGTAAAGTATCAATGAAATAAGTCTTGCACACTCTCCGTGTTAAATAGTTTATTCTAAAATTCGAATTTAACTGTGTGACATTGAATAATATAATATTATCATGATAGTATTACATATCATATTTAAAATAAATTGAGGCATTTAATCAAATGATTACCATTTACGTATATGTTGAAACTAGGTATGATATATTAAAATAAAATATTAAGTTTTTAATTTTACAAAAATTTAATTTTGATGCATTATCAATGTAAAAACAATATAAAAATTGCAACGATAGCGTTTGGACAGCCCCCAAGCAAGGGTGAGTTAAGTTGAACTGTGATGGAGCTTCTTCTAGTGGCATGAAAAAAGTTAGTTGTGATGGTATATTAAGAGATCACAATGGATCCTTTTTGGGAAGCTTCTATTGTAATTTAGGTTCTTGCAATCCTCTTGATGCAGAATTATGGGGATTACTGAAAGGTTTGGAACTGCTTTGGGGAACATGATTAAAAAGAATAGAGCTAGAATGTGATTCTAGCCAAGCCATCCAGATGTTAAAAGAGCAGCATGAAGATCCTAGGGACTCTCAAGTCACTAGCAGATTGAGATTATGGTTAAAAACAGATTGGACTATTCATCTTGTTCATACCAAGAGAGAAAATAACAA